ACAATATTGTCAATCAAGTATCACATCTTTAAAGGCCCTTGAACATAAATGGGAACAATAATTTTCATTACTATTCTGTGATGAATAACTGTAATAATACCCAGGCCTTGTGAACACAGCTACAATTGTACACTTTCAACAAACATAATGGATGTCTGCAATTGATCTGGTTTTTCTACAAAATGTTTTCAAAAAGGATTATTTATCATTTGAAATAATTGTTTTTCCATTTTATACCTTTTATTGCTTTTAGCCACACAAATTAACCATCAGTTACTCAGAAAACGGTTTTCTTAGCAAGTAAAGCCTCTGACGAATTACTTTATATTTTCCTAATTCTGTGCACATAGCACAAAATAAGAATTATTTTGTAAATTCACATGTATTGGAAAGATGTACCCGTATGTTTGTGTGTGGATAGTCATTTAAAATGATCCAGTATTTTAAAATGACCTGTAATTGAATCTAATATATTAATATTATTTAACAGTAATACATGGAGACGGCCTTAATACAAGTGTAGCACAACATGTGAACACGAGTTTGTTAGTTTTCCTATTGACCAGTGATAACACTGTATTCAAACAACCACAAAAAACTGCTTTAGGAACAAAGAAAACTTGGAAGAAGCACAAAACACCTGTACAGTAAATGTGTTGAAAAGCAGCCTTCCCAGGTGTGTTCTGCTTTGAGAAATAACTTTTTCTAAAGACAATCTCCATATTTCTCTCTTTCTCACTCTGCTCCTGTGCAGTAAATCTGTGGAGACCTCTAAAGTGCTGTCCTGTGTGCCGACGGTCTTCTGTGCTGTGCTCCCGTTGAATGTTGTTCAGTCTGCACTGTGTGGGGGTTAATCTCAGATGAAAGGCTGTAGGTCTGAGCTTCCTTTTATCTGAATAGTTCTTGCCTAGATGTCTGTGCTCCACACTGCAAATTGATGCTGTTGCCAACCTCTGCCACTACAGGCCAGTAGAACAGAAAAACAGCACACATCACTGCTTTGAAGCTCCTGAAGACAACAGAGATTCTGTATTAGTCAGGGTATAAGGGGTTGCCAGTGAAGGCCACTGTTTCAGATGCTGTTATATTTGATTTTATGTTATGAAGGTTTTCTACTCTGGTGCTGTCTTTGGAGTTTATGTGAACAGCATGATACAGTGGCTTGTGTTTTTGCCGCTGATGAAATATTGTTCTGATTCTATAAATCAGGAGAAACATGTATCTAGTTGAGAGATCTTAACAAGACCGGCATTGACAGGGATATTTGGAAACCAAAATAGGATGTTATCAAAATAACAGTTATCATTTTACAGCACATAGTTTGCCGAATTCCTTCCACCTGAGCACTTGACTGCAGCAATCAGACTGAGGTGACCCTGTAGTTACAGTGCAGAGCCCTAACCACTATTACACAGTGCTGTCGCCCTGCCTTGTTGAGCTGTGTAGAACAGCTGTACTGTACTGTATGTGTGTGTCTGGTTCTGTCCCTCATCCCTCATATAACGCCTGTCTTGTAACTGTCTTGGCAGTGCAGAGGTAGTGTATTAACAATGGGCTCTTCCCTCTGGCGGCTGCATGTTCCGATTAAATGTGCGCTCTCTTCAGGAGCTCGGGAGCAGAACAGAAGATTGCCTTCAAGTGGCTGAGGACTTGAATTCCACCATGTTCCTGCAACAGGCAGGCCCACTGTCATCATCTGCTGTTTCTGTGTGAGGCAGCACCAACCCCGGGAAGATTATACAGCTGAGCGGGACTGTGACCCAGCTGCTGACAGTTTGAGAGCTTAAGAGCTTGTTGATCAGAGGTTTCGGCTCTCAAAATTATTTGCAGACTTTGAATTGGTTCCTTTTGATGCTATTATTAAAATAATATCCTTTTTCTGCATAATGTGATGGACATTTGGTTTCTCTAAGTATATTAAAATGATTGTACTATAGAGTTAGAGAGAGAGTGACTATGCACTGTAAACACTACATATAATTCTCTTTTTTATCAACATATCTATTAACTATGCCTACAGTGTATTGTGCAAAACTTTGCATTATTAATTGTGTTACTTTGTTTGTGTAGTATTTTTGTAATGGTTTTGAGTTTCCGTAAGAACAGTTAAACAACAAACAGACTAAAAGTGTACAACACTATTCATTAACGTATTATGGGTTATGTTGGATGCTGTGGTTTAGGCTACTCAATGACATATTCTATTGTATAATTGCAAAATAATATGTTCAATACAAAGCCTTGAATAATTGCATCAAACAAACACATGTTGTTCAAGTAAGATATACACTTCGTATAAATGATCATAACCCTGATCTCAGAGCTGTTAATACATTGAAATGTAATTTTTCATGAGGCCTCCGTGACCCTTCACACAGGACAGCGATATCCAGCAACGAAAGGGATCTAGCAGATGCTGTGTTTTAGTGTTTATCAAGATCACCGTCTCCCTCAGTCAGCACATATCCATTCTTTAATGAGACAGAGGTGAATCATTTTTGTAAGGGTGCATCACCAAAATAATCTTGTTTATCTGGTATAAAACATGCATGTGGGAGGCACAGTGGCTCAGAGGTCAGCATTGTAGCCTCACAGCCTTGGGGCCCAGGGTTCAACTCCAGACCTGGGTGCTGTCAGTGTGGAGTTTGCATGTTCTCCCCATGTTTCTTCTGGGTGTTTCGGGCTCCTCCCACAGTGCAAAGACATACTGGCAGGTTAATTGGCTTCTGGAAAAAACGGCCCTCGTGTGAGTGTGTGTGTGTGTCATCTCATCCAGGTTGCCTGCCTTGCACCCATTGCTTGCTGGGATTAATGGATTTGATTCTAGATTGGTGTGCCTTATGTGTGGAGTCTGCATGTTCTCTCTTTGTATGAGTTCTTTATGCACTGCGGTTTCCTCTCACCTTCTAATGAGATGCTAGTCCTTAATTGTCCCTGTGCTTATGTGTGCCTACTGTATGTGTTTCAGTTCCCAGTAATGGGAGGCCGTCCTCTCTTGAATGAAGTTACTACTTTTGCTCCTGAAATAGGCATGAAGTTGTCCTTGTCTACAAGGAAGAGGAAGCTTTGTGATGTCAGATGGATAATATACTGTATATATGGAAATAAAATTTAGAAATGAATATAGAGATAAAATTGAAAATACTCACTTCTAACTCGGAGTCAAGATGGGCTAATTACTTGAGAAACAGTAACTGGACTGGACTAATTACAGGGATAAACCGACTAATGACATGGGAAAACAATTAAGAATTTTGAAGACTAAGACAAAATCTTTGCCAAGCTCAACTAATTAGCTAATTTATTAATTGCATGAATAATGGACGCATGAAACGGCATCTCTGCCCGGCTTTGCTCACCTGCAACATGCTCGCCCATGCTCCAGCTCTTGTGTGCCGAGCGACGAAAGACTTTTAAGTGTGAGTGAGCTGAGACAGGATCCGCACGAGAACTGGCAGTAGGAGTTCATGTTAATGCAGGGGCAGTGCGGAGCACTGTGAGATTGTAGAGAACTGAGGGAGTGGCAGCTCGCGTTCTGTAACCAAGGCAACGGACAAGGCAGTGTGCGCAAATCTAAAGAAATTTTTTGTTCTGTATGAATGCTATGTATGGTATAGCATGAATTACAAGATGATTAGTGCCCAGGCAGGATACTTAATGTATTACTGTAAGTAGAAAATGAATAATCCCAACATTCAAGATCTGGAGTTACTGTAAACTCAGTGGATAATATTTCAGTCAGTGCAATATCTGTTACAATAAATCAGGTTTTGTTAGGAAAAACAGAACCAGTTTGTTTATGGTTCTGCAGTTCCATCTTCGCTTCCATGTGAACTAACAAAATCATCATTTTCAAACAACTTCTTGACACACGTTTTAGAACACAAAATGAACTGTGTCTAAGAAACTGGCATTTTGACTGCAGTCTAACAGTACCCAATCGTGTTTTGGTTGGATGTGTTTAAGTATGTCACTGGTGAGAAAAAAAAATCCCACTGTATTTTGTTTTAAAGTTTTGATAATGCAATTCAGAGCAATCTGCATTTAAATAAATCTCCCCAAAGATATACCCTGCATATACAGTAATGGTAATGGATATGGTTGAATCAGATTTCAAACACTAACTATGCAGAAGAAGAGGGTGATATCATTTCAGATGTCAGTCAAACATCAATCATTGTGAGAAGTTAAAGACTGCATCTGCATTTCATTCTAATTGATGGTTCTGTCTGAGGGTTGAAAACCGTTAAATTGCTGATGTTTCAATGATGGAATGTCAGCTGTCATCATAGAGATGAAAACTGTGTCTCACCGTGGCAGTCGCTATAACAAATCCTGTTGATTTGACTTCAAGGTATTGTATCAGGGTCAAAGTTTAATTTATCAGCCCCTTAACCCTTGTGATATGAATATTGAAGGGTTTGATTTTAATGTCAGCGAGGCATTTTGTTGAGCATTATGGATTGGTATAAGAAATACGGTATCTCTCAGTGCCTCTCAAAACTATCTTTTTGCACCTTAGTGTATTTTTTGTTTTACTTTAAGAGCTAGAATTTCTGTCTGTAAAATTTATTTCACTTAGAAATTAGCATATGAGGCAGAAGAAAAGATTAACCTTAAGTTAATACAATAAAACTTGTTCCATTCTTTTTTATTAAGCGATGTCAACTGCATTACTGTATATACTGTACATAATGAAGTTGTTCATAAAGTTTCAAAGAAGTGTTAGAAGTATTATAGTGTTGGTTCTATATTTAGTTCTCCCACAATATACAAGATGCACATGGAAAGCAACTGAAATAATCATTTTGAATTTGCCCAGTATGTTTTACGTTTCTGCAATCGCCGGGTGTTTAAGAAGAGACAGAGTGATAAATGTGCAGAATAAAACAAGTTAGTGTGTAGTGTTGCGTGCGTGTCTCCTATCTCAGGCCAGGGCAGGTTAAAGAGTGCAGTGGTGGAGTGGCTCTCATTGCAGCGAACTCTTTTCTGACCTGCAGCTAAAAACATGGCCTACCGGAAGGTGACCGCAGGACACGGGGGGGCTTTGCACTCTCAGGACCTGGACGGCGAAGCCCTCCAGGCCACAGTGCTGGACCTCGAGTGGGACATGGAGAAGGAGCTGGAGGAGCCGGGATTCGAGAGGTTCCAGTTGGAGAGCACTGGCCAGCGTCCCGCGGGGAATTCGACGGCCCCCACGGACCTCGACATGGAGCCAGTGCAGCCCTCCGTCTCTCCTCAGGGTCGCTTTGAGCGGCTCCAGGAAGACCCCGACTATGTGTCTCACTTCACTAGACCGGCACCAAAGAGCAGCCGCAGGACCTGCTGGAAGGCTGCAAAATACTTTGTGGTGGGCAGCGGGCTTTTCTTCATCGGCCTCCTGATTGGCCGTTATACGCGGCAGACAGGCCGCTCTGGGCTCACTCCCAATAACCGGACCCTGCCGGCGCCGCCTGCCGGACCCGGAGATCTCCACCGCGTAATTCTGCAGGACATCAGCGTGGAGGGCATTAAAGCACGCTTGAGGTACGTCGTGAAACCTTTGACAGCTACATTTGGCAAAAGGTTGATGAATAGAGTTAGAATTAAGAAGAGAACTATAAAAAGGAGCAGAGACACAACATCTGGAGTTATTAACAAGTGGTTAACTGCTTGTAAACTGAGATTGACATTTGGGATTACAGAGCCATTGTTTTTGTAATGCAGGGTACTTTCTGAGCAACAAAGAGTCACAGACATGCTGTACAGTAGTTGCTAACGAGAGGTGCGTTAAATGAGTCACAGACAAAGCAATGAGTCATTAAGTTGTCTCAAGAGCAAATCAATTCACAAGAAGTCCAGTGGGAACACTGGTTCTGTGTCTAGTCAAAACAAGAGAATAAATAAAATTGTTCAAAGTGGAAAAGAGTGGAATTTTGCAGAAAATCTGCAATCTATGCTGTCATAAAAATCCAAAGCACACTGGTTCGACACTGGATCTCAGAATATTGCACTTAGCCAGTAGGCACGGTGAATTCGTAATGCCTCTTAAACAATCTGAATTGGTGGCTGCTGTCTGCTTGGCATGGAAGTCAGTTAACCTCCGATACATGAAACCAGCCCAATTCAGGATCAAAGTCTGGGGTAAATAAACAGTGGAAAGTGATACGGTTCTGCGCGTGAGGCTCTGTGAAAGGGAGGGTTTGTGGAGCCCACAGATGTGGGGTTTTCTTAAACTGCCCCTGCAGGACTCTCCTCCTCCTGACAATGTATCACTCAGTGCCAAAGTACAGGTGCCTTGGCAGGCTGTACCTCACAAGTGACAACCAGGTATGTTCAGTGCATGCCAACTGGTGCACTCCCTGTCGGGAGTAAAGCAGACACAACCAGGTACTAATGTTAGATTAAATCCTCACAGCTCTCCAGCGCACAGGAATTGCTTGTGAGTCTCCAAATGCAGAACAACGTACAACTGCAGACACAAGTGATGGCACGCTGCATCTGAAACAAATATATTCACTAATGTTTCACGCTTGTCTAAAGGGTAATTAAGACGTTTTAGTGTACTAAATTAATGTGCAATATTTCTGACTGCAAGACTATAGACATCCTTTGAATTGCAGGTACTGTATACAGGTAAGTGTTAGAGCCAATGATGTACAGTATGATATTGCTACCAAACCATGGTGGGTGTCAGTAACTGTTAATTTACTATAGACTCCCAAAAGGTTACAACTTACAGTGCATTGCAAGAAGCAAAAAACAAAGCAATATATATTATTAGATTTGAAATCCTGAAAAGAAATTCCAGAATGCATTTTGAATTTTAGCCAAGACTCAAAAACACCCTTCATTGTACAGTATATTCAGATTTGCCAAGATTTAATCACACATCCCATGTGTGACTGGCACTTTGTGCTGTATTGTACACGGAATGTGGTATTTTCTTTAAGGAGATAATGATAAAACCTGTTCTTATTTTACAAGATTTAACATATACTTCTGGGAACAAAATATATTATTACAGTTGTAAGGGCTTAAACAATGAATGTATTCCTTATTCTTGTGATCCTGGTCCTCAGAGTAAATTCGCATATTTACTAGTTTAGCTAAAGCCCAGTAGGAATGCAGACTGCCACTTGGAAAACACACATTTAATGATTTAGAATAGATTGCTTAATTGATTCAATACCAACACTAATAATTTAATCAAAGGGCAGTCTGCTACAATTCTGAACACCCTATTTAACCTTCTTACAGATGCATTTGGGCTTTTTAAAAAGTGCAGTGTAAGGCAAACAGAGTACCAACTAATTGAATTTATTGTTCAATTTTTGCAGTCTTAAATGTTTTAAAAAACAACCTGGCTCTCTCAGACAAAAGTGCACCTACTCTTGAAAATGGTTTACTGCTCACTGAACAGATTCTTCTTGGTGATGTTTGTGGTTTATTTTGAGTATGTCAATATGTGGCTCCATATCTGGTCTCAGTAGCAGAGGTTTTTATTTCCTTAACTTACTCTACCTTATTAAAACAAGGCACTGCTTTACTCACAGTTTTACACATATTGAAAAAGTCTCTTGGTTAAAATTACATACATGATTGGTTAAAAGGGCATACATTTTCCCCTATCATAAATCATCATAAATCCCTGGAAATACAGAACATTTTCGTTTAATTTTTATAAATAAAATTCAGTAACTGCAAAACTTGACCTGCATCAATTCCTTGTGAATAGCTGTGCAGATTTATTGTTACTGTATATTCTGCAGCAGTTGCTTTTGAAAACTATAAGTAAAAAATCAGACTGAAGGCATTGCATCACATAACCAAATATTAATTGTCTTGTTTGCAGGGTACTAGTAACTAGTGCCTCAGTAATTGGCACCAACCCTGAGAGAAACCTCCAAAAAGAAGTAATATATTCATTTATTTTTAATTTGTTCTGTGACCATTAATTGAAATCCTGGTGCTCTCCAAAAGAGAGATTGATATTTAAGGAGTGAAGTGCGCTGCATTATTTAAAAGAAGGCTGAAACATACAGAATCAGGTCCCTCAAAGATTGTGTTCAGTGCATTTGAATCTTGAAATGTGTATTCCTTTTGTTTCTTTATTGAAAGGTTAAAATCCTTTAAAACCGAAGAAACCCTGCACCTCGCACACAGTGTTGTGCAGCGGTCCCTGTAACTTCTGATAGCGTTTATTAGAATGTCATTTAATGAGAAATACAGAACAAAACCATTTGATGTATTTCTCTGCTTTCTGTATCCTCAGTATTCTGAATACTGTCAGCCATTAAAATTCAGAACTCCGCATAAACTTATCTCAAGTGCGTAATGAATTGAATGTCAAAAAATGTGCTTAGTATAAATTCTCATTAGTTTGGTGTTTATAACATGATTGAAAGTTAATTTAGCTGTAGTTTGAATAATTTGTTGTATTTTGCATATTAATGGACACAAAACAAGCGGACTTGATTACCACTAGTAAGAAGTCCGGTCTGGCCAGGAGTAAAACTACAGTCAATTAGACCAATTTGTGTTCTACAAAAAAGAGAGATAAATAGAAACTTTTTTCTTCTTTCATTGTCTAATTTTTAAGTTGTTCTTTTAATTTGTTTAATCCTCTGTGAAGAAACATGGGCTTTTAGTCGTCAGGAAAATCAGTAACAAACGTTTTATTACCAGATGTATTTACGGAAAAGATTTTATCTTTGACATTCTCCCCTGATTTATAGGAGCAGCAATTAATTCAATTAATTTTCTTGATTCTTGATTTTTTTATTTGTCCTTCAAATCCCTCAGTTGTAGTACTGTAATGAAAAACAAATGTTTGAAATTAGCTGGTATGTAGCAAATTAGATTATTGATGGTTTTATGTCTTTCAATTGCATTGGCACTTCAAAGAATGCTAAAAAGAAAACATCGAAAGCACACTATACTGTAATTAAACCAAAGTCCCAGTCTAAATTATACTATACTATATAATATCCATTTGAACTTTCTAATACTTATTCTTAAATGTGGCAAAAATTCAAGCACTATAACTAAACTACTGCGCTGAATTTTTAAATTGCACATTTTAATGAATTTTTAATGAAAATTATCAAGGTCAAAATGGTGACCATGTTCATTAGCTCACTGGGACTGATAAGAAAAGAAGGGGACTTATTTAGTGAGCTTTGGGCCAGAGGCAACAAAGGATAAACTACCATTACCTCATTCTTACCTGACATTATAAAATATAACAAAGCAGCGCTGAGTCGAATATTAAAATGGACTTTCCTTTTACACTCCACAGATATAGGACCCTTGGCAATTGGGCAATTTACCTTGCTGTAATCCCCCTCAACAACACAAGAAAAGAGAGAAGATTATGATTGCATTTTGCTTTGTTTTTCTTCATTGGTTTTGCAGAAAATCACATCTCTGTTAGCTGTTTCAGTGTTCGGTGAGAGAGGAAACCCATTTTAAAACTAAACCTTTTTCATGCATCGTTAAGTCAGGCCTGCCTCAATAGAAAGGATGCCTGAAATCTATACTGAGCACCCAAAGAAACTTATCACTTTTAACTGCAGCAAATTCACAAGTTATCAGAAAAATGACAAAATCATTTTTGTAGCAGGTGCCGCGACTTTGAATTGAACTGACATGACAGAGGTAAATTCATTTTACTGGTTAACATTTGTCATCAACTGAGTTCACCAACACAGGGTCTAATGGCTACAGTAGCGCCTACCTCATGGTACTGTATAAATCTGTGATGTCTAGCCTATTGTTCTTCCAGAGCCCAGACAAGCATGTGCCCGTTCACTGGTCTCTGAGCCATCAAACTCACAGTAAAGTATCCATTGTCATATTTTCATCTTGCTAATAACAACTGTGACATGACCAGCAGGACCGTGTGTGTTGTCCTGCTGGAATACTTTCTCGCTGTCCTGCTGTCTCGCTGCCTCGCTGCCTCGCTGTCTCGCTGTCTCGCTGTCTCGCTGCCTCGCTGTCTCGCTGTCTCGCTGTATCTCTGACTCGTTGTCTCGCTGCCTCGCTGCCTCGCTGATTCTCTGACTCGCTGCCTCCCTGTCTCGCCGTCTCGCTGTCTCGCTGTCAGGGAACATAACTGCACAGGGTGAAAAGTTATTAAGAGTGAAGTTTCTATCTCCATGGAGACTTGAGTTGTCTGACCAAGAAAACACTCTTAATGCAACAAATTGTTAGTGCACCGAAGATGAGAAAGAGGTAAAGGTTATCCCAGCAGAGGAGAAAAGGGTTATGTCTTCCTTTTTCAAACTGGCAGTATTTGCAAGAGAAGGAATGGAGAAAATAACTCAGTGCTGTTTGTCAAGTCCCAGTTTAGTCAACCATGTGCCGGAGTACACTGATTATCATGCTGCAACTTCAGACGCTGAACATAATCGGGCTTTTAAAGTAGTTTTGTAAGTAAGTAGATCAACTGTGGAATATGATTATACTCAAGGGACAAAGGTAAAAAGACTTAGTGGAGCCAGGAAGAAGATGTTTTCATGATTTGATGTGAAAAATTTACAGTA